AAAATCACTTCTTAAAGCAATGTCTCGGCAAACATCTCAAACATACTGAAGGTTGATTGCACCCTAAACATGAGAACACTGCAGGTTGGAGCACACAGCATGCTGCCCCTGCTCAAAAAACTGCCCCTAAACTCGTGCGCGCAAGCCTCTCTTACAACTCTAGCTATCGATTCGGTGGGTGGGATCTTCCGAGAGGCGTAAGTCTCCTTACTTACGGAGCGCTTTTCTCCCTTCTGACACGAAATGTGCCCGCGATTGGGCTGGGAGGTATCATTTGTCTCCAGCGAGGTTCCCATAGGTACCACGTCATTTCGCTGCCTTTCGCTGAACATGTTAACCTCGAGCAGTACCATTGAAATCTCAGGAGGAACGTGTCAAAAAGAGCGAAAGCATGTCGCACTGGGTACGTACGCTGGTTCACATGGGAACCTGTCTGGGTCACAAACGGTAGTTATGGCAGGGCAGCTACTCCTGCGCAACAGCGAAATCCAACTCCCAACCTAGTCCGGGCACTGCCTTTAACGGCTAATTGGATGCGTAACAGAGTGAGCGAAGGGTCGGGCTACCCGACCTGGGGGTCATATTGGGGGTAAGAATGGGGGAAGGTCGAATTGAGAAAATACTACGATCGAAAGGTTGAAGAAGATAAGCGCCGTGAATGTCACAGTTCCGCCAGATTCAACTGACTGTCGTAAACTGCATATCAATTCCAATACGAAGTCTCAGTCAAGTTCCAGTTGAACCATTTACTTAAATAAGGTTCTTACTTACATAAGGTTCATCAGACAAAGACACTTGAACGTTCAAAAGTATTAGCTTATTCTCATCCAGTTTATCGCGCGTGGATCTTATGTTAGGGGATTGGCTATTCAGGATGTCAAAGCATATGTCTATCTCACTTTGAGCGGACATATGATGCAGCAATCAACAGTGTACCGATAACAGAACAACAGTTTACGAGCAAGTACGGGTTGTTCGATCTTTGACATAAAGCTAATTGCGACGAGGCCCAATCTTTGCCCCATCGCTAGGCCATGTATCTGCTTGTAACACCTTCTTGACCAGCAGAATATGCTGCAATTCAGGCATTCTTTCAACAGTGTCATGATTTGTCTAACGCTGAACCCATACATGTTGAGAGTGGATTCATGTTCGAAGAGCAGCTCATACACGGCTTCCATACCATTGGAGACGTTTGTGTACAACGAAATGACGTCAAAAGTTTCAATCGCGCATTCTCCATTATGCTGCGTTTTGCTGAACTGCTCAGGATACATTTTAGTGTTCGAGAGATGGGCACAACCACATACTTCAACAATCGTTTTAGGATCATGTTCAATAGTCATGAGATTCTATGCGGGCCACCGCAGCTGCTTATGATGGGTCTTACTTCGTATTCTAATTGATTTTCAGAGAGAAATTGTTGATGCAAGGAGTTTGTGTGTCTACATCAGCACGTAGAGGACTGGACATTTAGGTAAATCGACTTTACAATGCGATATCAAAGCTTTTGGTAAGCCGATGGAGTTCGTTATATTTACCCATACTCTGTTCAGACGACGGCTTTGTACAAACTCTTGCTCAGAAAAAGCGCAATACAGAGTGCTGTCATCCAAATGGTGTTCAGTTATGGCCATGTCTAAACTACGCGTCATCACCACAAACTCCCCCGCCCCTTATCGCTGGTTGA